AAAAAAAAAAAAAAAAAAAGCCTAGGAGCATGAAATATAAACACCACTGAATTAGTCTGTTTTTGCATTGCTATTAAAAAAATACCTGAGACTGGGTAATTTATAAAGAAAAAGGTTTAAGTGATTCACAGTTCCATAGCCTATATAGGAAGCATGGCTGGGGAGGCCTCAGGAAACGTACAATCATGGCAGAAGGCAAATGGGAAGCAGACATGTCCTACATGGCCAGAGAAGAAGGAAGAGAGAGAACGGGGATGTGCTACACACTTTTAAACAACCAGATCTCATGGTAAGTAAATGGCTATCACAAGAACGGCAAGGGGGAAGTTCATCCCCATGATCCAATTACCCAGCAGGCACCCTTCTCCAACACTGAAAATTATCATTGAACATGAGATTTGGGTGGGAACACAGAGCCAAACCATATCAACCACATAAAGAAGAAGAATTGGAAAAATTTTGCAAGTAATGTGGACTATTTATATACAATGCTGTTTATTATAGGATGTTAATAAAACTTGGGACCTAAGTGTTTTAACAATAGGGGATTATTTTTTTTAATTATGGCAAATCCATGATGATGCTGTGTGCAGCTAATAAGAAGTATCTTATAGAAAAACATTAGATATTGTTAATAGATCAAAATCATATGGTTTCAATTTTATAAAAATGCTTATATATGTATGGTTAAGTGCAGAGAAAAATATTGGAAAGACACACCTTTAAAATGTTCATTCTAGGAGATAAAATTATTTTTTAAATTATTTTTCTCCTTTGGAATGCTGTTTGTATTCTTAATATTTTATTTACTAATATTTGTTTCTTTTATATTTGGAAAAATAATCTATTCTACATTTAGAGCAGGTTTGTTAGAAAAAATGGCATTTGAGATATACCCTTTTTTTTTTTTTGAGACAAGATCTCACTGTGTTACCTAGATAAGAGTGCAGTGGCATGATCATGGCTCTCTGCAGCTTCAACCTCCCAGGCCCAAGTGATCCTCTCACTTCAGCCTCTCAAGTAGCTGAGACCACAGGCGTGTGCCACCACACCCAACTAATTTTTTAACTTTTTGTGGAGATAGAGTCTAGCTTTGTTGCCCAGGCTAGTCTCAAACTCCTGCGCTCAAGCAGTCCTCCTGTCTCAGTCTCCAAAGTGCTGGATTACAGGCATGAGCCACCATGCCCTGCCTAATGGCTAAATTTTTGATCAGTAGAGACCAGGGGAAGGAGCCAATGTGTTCAAAGGCAGCAAAGTACACGGTGACACGTAATCTCAGGGATACAGTGAGCCTTGAAATGTTATGTGAGTCCCATTTTGGGTCTTGAATGTTAGCTGGGCTTTGTTATACTACTCTATAAAATCTGGCTAGTTTATATAATCTTAATCATATATTCATTTGTATAACTGCTTTAGAATATAATAGATCAGCATGGTTTTTCAGTGCAATTGTGTGAACATTCTTAATATTCAGCAATTTTATAGTGGTGTAGCCAGTTTGAATAATCTCATTTACATACATATTATAGAATTTGCATAATTTAATTTTTATCATTTGATGAATTGTTTATCCTTTCTCTCAATTGCAGTGACTTAAAAGGAGTAAAAACAAATGCTAAAAAGGAAGGAAGTGGGCCGGGCGCGGTGGCTCACGCCTGTCATCCCAGCACTTTGGGAGGCCGAGGCGGGTGGATCACGAGGTCAAGAGATTGAAACCATCCTGGTCAACATGGTGAAACCCCGTCTCTATTAAAAATACAAAAAATTAGCTGGGCATGGTGGCTCATGCCTGTAATCTCAGCTACTCAGGAGGTTGAGGCAGGAGAATTGCCTGAACCCAGGAGATGGAGGTTGCGGTGAGCCGAGATCGCGCCATTGCACTCCAGCCTGGGTAATAAAAGTGAAACTCCATCTTAGAAAAAAGAAAAAAAAAGGAAGGAAGTGACTGAATTCTCAATGGAAGCAAGGTGTGTAAAGATGGACTTCTATAGTCCTTCTTTTCAGAGTCATCCCCTGGGTAACAACGTCTCAGAGACAACTCCTTGATTCTGTTAAATCTAGAGACTCATGAAGGAATTGAATTTACCTAAGTTGCTCTGGAGATGATAAATTTACAACATATATTACTTAAGATCTGTGGTAACTTCTTCTATGTTTCATTTTGCATGCCCCCTCACTAATATGGCAAAGGTTGTTTTAGCTTCCAGGCAGCCCTTATCAAACCAGAAAAAGAGAAGGCAAGGCTCATATTGCTCAAATACGGGACAAATATTAATAATACTTAAACTTTATTTTGATGAAAGTTGGGGGAAAAGCTTTCTCAGATCAAGAAGAATTTCAAAAGATTCTAGGAGAAGGCCAGGCACAGTGGCTCATACCTATAATCCCAGCACTTCGGGAGACTGAAGCAAGAGGATTGCTTGAGCCCAGAAGTTTGAGACCAGCCTGGGCAACAAAGTGAGACCCTGTCTCTACAAAAATGGAAATTTTAACAATTAGCTGGACATGGTGATGTGCCCTTTGGTTCCAGCTACTCACTCAGGAGGCTGAAATAGGAGACTTGCTTGAGCCAAGGAGGTTGAGAGAGTAAGACCTCCTCTCAAAAAAAAAAAAAAAAAAAAATTCTAGGACAGAAATATCAGTGATACAGTGATAGAATCTGAGACCCATTTGAGAACCATTTAGTTCTTCTAACTCAAACAACTCACTGATAGAATTGGAGAACCCTTCCTAGTAAGGTTACAAATGGGCTCAGGAGCCCTGATATCACTGAGGGGAAATGCATTTGATATCACCAAGGGTAAGTGATATTGCCCACCTAAAATTGTGTCTGGTATATACTCAGTAAATATTTGTTGTTGACTGAATGTCATGTGAAGGAAAGATGTTCACTTTCTTTACAGTTCTAAAATAATCTTTCTGAAAATATGTGCCAAGGTCTGTTGAAGAATTAGTTTTTATATGTTTGTTTGGGCTAATATCTCTGTATTTACAAAATTGAATCACTGGTGTTCTTCAAATATACCTTAATAAATATTTGTTTAAATAATTTATCCTAAGAATTATAATTAAATAGATGATAGCTCCAACATATAATCAGTTAACTCCTGGCATACAGAAGGCTGCTTTTGAAAGGATAGTGGGATATTTGGTCAGAAGTGAAAATGGGAACCACATTTTCTTACGCCTCTAGCTCTCTAAGCAGGCCTCGTCTGCTCAGCTGTCGTGTTCTGTGGGAACTACCCAGGAACACTACCATTGACTCTGTTTCAAAAAGTCAGAAATAGCAAAAAAATGAAAACAAGTAAAAGTAAAGGAATGGGTAAGCAAATACAGTGCATCTGAATGAATGTGCAGCGATTAACATTGGCAACACAGAGTTTTTAACAGTACAGGAAATAATTATACATTAAGTGAAAAAACAGGTTATAGAATGAAAGTATAGAAAAATTTTTACCCAATGAAAGTTTTTGCCTAATGAACTGCTTCCTTTCTATTCCATTGTTTATTTACTATCTATAGTTAAAACATGTATGAGACCATTTTAAAAGCATAGAGTAGATGCTAATTCCTGGATGCTGTATGATTCAAAACAAACAAAAATGCGCTCTTAAAGCATTTCAACTGTGGCAGCTACATAGATGTTAGAAACTACACAGAAGGGTAGGAACTTGTTAGATTTATAAGGTTTTTGAGCAAGGCAGTGGTGTAATGGAGCCATTCTGTTGAAAAAATATTTTTGCCAAGATGTATAGAATTTCTTTGAAGAACATCTTTTTCAAAATATATTTTTTAAACATCCTTTGGCCTTCTCTGTGCCAAACAGAATTCTAAGCACTGAGGGTAGATAGATGAGTAGGAAATGGCTAGGAGTTCCTAGTAAGGAGGGATGTTGATGATTTTTTAATGTGTCACCTATAACCGTGCTACTACCACTATCTTCATTTGCTGTTATGTAGACAACACTAACATTATTTGCCCATTTTTCATTATTTGTATGTGTCAGTGCTGTGCATTTTAGATGATGGGAGTAACTAACATCATTTTATACACCTACTATTTCAAAGGGAGAGAGATAAAAACAGATCATTTGAATACAGTTTGATAAATCTTAAAATCATGGTACATTTGAGGTGTTGTAGGAGCACTTAATGCAGTCTGGAGAATTTGAGACTTTTTGGACAATCTGATGTCTAATCCGTCCAGGATGGGTAGGATTCATTGTAGCAGAGCTGGGAAAGGTCCTTTCCCAAGTAGAAAAAACAAGATTTTCAGACTCACAGGTCAGGAAAACCTCAAAATGTGATGGACAGCAAGTAATTTAGTAGCACTGACTGGAGAACGGGGAATTGGGAGAAGTGGGACAAGTAATAAGGTAGGTAAGGAGTGGTAAGCTAGTTGTAGTTTGTGATAAGTTTTCTGTTTCCTGCTAAGGGTTTTGAATTTATCCTGAAGCCTATTGGGAGCTATTCAAAATTTTTTAAGTGTGAAGGTGATATGATCAGATGACATTTAGAAAGATCTCTCTGACATCATAATGAATGATACAGCTATAGGGAGATGAGTTGTAGGAACTTGAGAAAGGATGAAGGCTGGAAATAAGGTAATTACAATAGACTTGAAAGGAAGTGAATAGATTTCAAAAGTATTAAGATGGATTAGAAAGAACTAGATGCTGAATTGAATATGAAGCAAGATGATAGCGTGATTTATTGAAGCATTCATTGAGATAGAGAAATTGGTTGATAATCAGGATTGGATAGGAGTAAGGGTGGGAAGGAATATGTCCTTCCCATGAGTCATCAGGTGGAATTATCCAGAAGCATGAGTCATCAGGTGGAATTATTATATCCTAAGTATGTATAAATGTCCAGGTCCTATCAAGAAATATGGCTTACCAGGAGTTTGAGGCTGCAGTGAGCTATGATCACACCACTGCACCCCCGCCTGGGTGAGAAAATAAAAAAAAAAAAAAAAAAAAAAAGTGAAATGTGGCTTAGATAAATATCTGAATTCATCAGCATGTAGAGGGTGACTCAAGCCATGAAAGTGATTGAGATGAACCAGGAAAGATGCAGAATGAGAAGAGAATTATTATTGGCTCTAGGTATATTTTGTTTTCTGAATCAATATCATCTAATAATCCCTCTCATTTGGCTTGTTATATTTACCTCCTTAATCATATTCTCTTATTTAGGCCATTTTGAAGGAAGCAGGATAACAATTATAAAAATCAAAAATAGTCCTTTTCAAAAACTGATAAATCTGAGAATAAATAGTATAGTGCCATTTATAGCAGATTTTCTCTTTTTGTTTTCCTTTTCTTTTCTAGAGACAGGGTCTCACTCTGTCACCCAGGTTAGTGTGCAGTGGCCCAATCATAATTCACTGCAACCTCAAACTCCTGGGCTCAAGCAATCCTCCTGCATCAGCCTCCTGAGTAGCTTGGACTATAGGTGCACACTACCACACCAGCTAATTTTTCATTTTTTGTCTCTGCTATTTTGGTGAGGCTGGTCTTGAACTCCTAAACTCAAATGATCCCCTTGCCTCTGCCTCCTAAAGTGCTGGTGTTATAAGTGTGAGCCACCGGGCCCAGCCAGATTTTCTTTTCTTATCAGTCGCTTTCTTCTAAAATACAATTTATTATCATAATAAACAATTTAGTTTCATTTTTAAAGAACATAGTAATCTCTGTTATTATGTGTAATATTAATAATGAAAATAAAATCTATAGGCTTCATTCTTTGAAGCATTAAGTAATTTTTTCCTGATCCTTGATAACATCATGTGTGAACAGTCAACTCTGCAGATATTTAGTAGGGTACAGAGAGAGGTATCAAACATGTCATCCGTTTTGTTTTCTTGAATGTGCTTTCTCCCAATCATAACTTGCACATAGGCTTGAACTATCCTGATGCATTAATAGGTACTTGGGGTTTTGCAGGTGTTCATCAGTAATGGGTGGTTAAGCGACCTTGTGTTTGTAGTTGTGATCACAAATCGTGAGGCTCACTCCCCTGCCCATGGTATTAACCTTTTTCTGGTCGAAAATGGAATGAAAGAATTTATTAAGGGACTAAAGCTACATAAAACGGGATTAAAAGCCCAGGTGAGTGATAATGTAAATCATATTCAGATACTAATTAAGTTTACTATTAATCAGATAGGAGACTTATATAGAGGATTGCATGTGGCACAACTTTACTTCCTATGCTGAATTTCTAAAATATGCTTTTCTGATGTGGTAATGGAGATTTATTCCCATTTATGCTACTTTATCTCTTTCTGATGGTCAGCAATAAAAATGAATCAAGGTATTTTGACTGTCTGCTTTAGAAATGACAAAATTAACTGCATGGTAATAAGCCATCTATTTGTAAAATGTATTAAAGAAAAATATGAAGTAAAAACAGAAAATGTTTTTCTAGATATTACCAAAAATACATGTTTTGCTTAATATGGTATTAGAAATCCTTAGTTCCAAGTATCTTGAGAACTGGACAATATTAGAGCTAGAATGATAGTGTATTGCAGTAGGAAAGCCACTAGGTTTAGAATGAGATGGATGTGGGTTCAGAGTCCTGGTTTACCACATACTAGTTGTGTCCATTAACCACTCCAGCTTGGCTTCCAATTTGTTTTTTGCTTTTTTGGAAAACATAATATTCACTTCAATATTCACTGGGTGTTTGGAAGATTTAAATGAGATAATTCTCTACATTTTTTGTATGGTCTTTTAGGATCCTGCAGAACTATTCTTTGAAGATGTATGGTTGCCAGCTAGTGCCCTACTTGGAGAAGAGAATAAAGGCTTCTATTATCTCATGAAAGCTTCCACAGGTAAGATTCCATCTTTTGATTGAATAATGAATTGGAATAAAATAATATAGAAACATGCTATTTCTATATTATTCATGCAAATTTATACATGCAAAACTTGTGAAATAGCTAATCATTTGAGTATTAAAGTTGTAATAAACGTATGTGTTTTATAGGCTAGATAGGTAAATAACTGACCTCAGTGATATCCAATCGAAGCTTATAAAGTGGGTAGGAAAAACAGGTATTTCAGTTCTGTGATTCCTTCTTAGAATGATTTTAGCTTCTTAATTACAATTCAAAACTTTTAGCTCTTTGTAAGGAAATGTCATACAAAACATTTGACAGCTTGCCAGTTTTTAAATAATAACTGTGACTCAAAGGGAAAAGTATAAAGTTCAGACCTAAAAGTTTTAGCCACATAGGGTCAGTCCCTAAATAGCTATGGTTTTGGAGTACGGTTGACAAGTGATTATTGAGCCTCAGATGCCAGCATAAGGGGATACTCCTGCCTAGTGACTGCCAGAGAATCACCAGCATGATGGAATTAAAGTGACTAAGGCTACTTTTACATTAATAGGTAGATTTTAACTTACGCACTTTAAGATGTGTTTTTCCACACATATATTGAGTCATGCAGTGTGCAGAGATCAATAAATTAAAATCAACAACTAGGGATTTTTTTAACTCATATGTGAATAAAGAGAAGAAAACATTAAATTAATTACATATATATAATGAAGATAGTCATTCATGGGCATGGTGTTATGTGCCTGTTGTCCCAGCTACTCGGGAGGCCAAGGTGGGAAGATAGCTTGAGCCCAGGAATTCCAGGATGTAGTGAACTATGATTGTGCAACTGTACTCCATTTTTGGCAACAGAGTGAGACCTCATATCTTAAAAACTTTAAAAGATTTAAGAAAGGCAGTCATTCATAAAAATAAAGAATTTGCTTTAGAGAGTGATTAGAGGTATGTCAAAAGAATCTCATAAATCTCTGATTTTTTATAAAGAGTTAAGACATAAATTAATCTTTATGAATTTATTATAAAGTTATAGGATTTATCATAATTGAAATTGTGTGAAAATCACTTACAGAATTACAGTAATATTTAAAAGCTAATTTTTATGTTATAGGAAAGGCTACTAATTGCTGATATGCAATTTCAGCTAGTGAATTCATGCTTGAAGAAACCAGGAACTATGTTAAACAAAGAAAAGCTTTTGGGAAAACAATTGCCCACCTACAGGTAAGCTTGTTGCTATGGTTTAATATTAGATGATATCAATTTACCGATCTGAAATGGCCTAGAGTAAACAGAAGTTTGGGTTATTTTCATGTAAGATGATATTAGAAACTGTGGAAGTGGATGAGATCACTAAGGGAGAGTGAGTAGAGAGTAAGACAGGAAGAGGTCTTAGGACACAGTCCTCAAGGAAAACTACAAGATTTAAAGGTGGAATTTATATTTGGAATTCATATTGTCTGAAAAAGAGGAGTCTGTAAGATAACTGAGAGTGAATGAACAGTTAGAAAGGAGAAAGCAAATCAGGAGAGCTTTGTCACAGAAGCTGGTAGGAAAGAGGATTTCATGGAGTAGGGAGTGGGACCAAATGCTGCTTAAAGGAAAGATAAGATGAAGGGCAAAGAGTGCTCATTGAACACAATGATATGGACATTATTTAGTAAGAGCCATTAACAGAGGTGGAGGGTGACAGACCCCAGTGAGTAGACAGAAATGAGGAAGTAAAACAATACTGATGGTAGGCAACTCTTTCCTGAGTTTGGCTATGAATGGTGGTTGAGAGAATGGGTAGTAAGGGAAGAGAGGAGGGTAAGGAGATTTGAGAGTCAAGGGAGATATTTGGGAGTTATTAATTTTTTGTTGTTATTGTTAGGATGGAGATGTGGGTGCATATTTTAATACCTAGAGAAAGGATTTAATAAAGAGTGAAAGGTTGTAGATAGAAAAGGGATAATCAACTGCATAAGGTCTTTGAGAAAGGGTGAGCCTGTGGGTGCTGACCCATGGAAAGATACAGAAAAGGGATTCCTCCATTTGCACAGGAAGAAAGGACCAAAGAATGTATATGAATTCAGACAGATACATCACTCTGTTGGTAGAAAACTACAAAAAAAAATATTTATAGAAGACTTCTATTTCTTTAAATAACATGGCCAGGTACAGCGACTCATGCCTGTAATCTCAGCACTTTGGGAGGCCAAGGCCAGTGGATCATTTGAGGTCAGGAGTTCGAGACCAGCCTGGCCAACACGGCAAAACCCTGTCTCTACTAAAAATATAAAAATTGGCCAGGCACAGTGGTGGGTGCCTGTATTCCCAGCTACTCAGAAGGCTGAGGCAGGAGAATCACTTGAACCCAGGAGGCAAAGGTTGCAGTGAACCAAGACCATGCCTGCACCACAGCCTGGGCTACATAGCGAGATTCCATCCTAAAAATAAATAAATAGGCCGGGAGTGGTGGCTCACACCTGTAACTCCAGCACTTTGGGAGGCAGAGGTGGGCAGATCACGAGGTCAGGAGATCAAGACCATCCTGGCCAACATGGTGAAACCCTGTCTCTATTAAAAATACAAAAAATTAGCTGGGTGTGGTGGTGCACACCTATAATCCCAGCTGAGGCAGGAGAATCGCTTGAACACGAGAGGTGGAGATTGCAGTGAGCTGAGATTGCGCCACTGCACTTCAGCCTGGCGACAGATCGAGACTCTGACTCAAATAAATAAATAAATAAATAAATAAATAAATAACAATAATAGGGAAAGTTTGTCCTTGAAAGACAGGTGAGTGAAAGAGGCATGGAGGTGTTGGAGAGAGTGAGAGAAGTACAAAATACCTTCTTCAGAATGAGAAACTAACTACCTTCTGCTTTTTGTATATGAATCAGCCTTATGATAAGAGTTTAGCTTCCCAGGTACAAACATATAGAAAAGACAGATGATTGTGTTTATCCAGGGTGAAGTTTTCCCCAGAACTTGAGGGTATTTGCAAAAGAACTCAGCCTATGGTGTCCACATTCAACATGCTAATTAAATTTTAGACCCTATAGTTTCTTTTTAAATGAAGGAATAGTTTATAATTCCTTCATGCAGTCATCATATTGGCAAAACATCTCACCAACAAAAAACCTGGAGTGGGGATTTGACTTTAAAAATTTTAAGTAGAATGACTGGCTGAAAGGTTTTGTGAAGGTAAATGTCGAAATGAAACAGCTTGGTGGCTTCTCAGGACCAACATTATAGAAATTACGTTCAACTATGGTTTATGTTCTAACACAGCTACTTGGATCTCTGTAGTCTAGGCAAGTTGTGTTCTCTCTCTCAAAAATGTTTCCTATTTGTAAATTTATGTGTTTGAATTGCAAAATTGTAAAACCTTACGATTACAAATCTTTAGGATTTGTAACATTTGTACATATTTATAAAATATTTTCCTATTTGCAAATATCAAGGACTGCCTCTTAGGGTTGCTGTGAGGATTATGTTGTAGAAAAAGCTCAGTTCCTGTCACACTACCAGGATGAACTAGGCACGCAGACACATTGTAGGGTGAGTAGGGCAGGGTTTAATGAATGAAAAGGGAAAAGGAACTCTTAGTAAAGCCAGAGAAAATCCTGCTAGCAGGTCTTCATTCCGCCTTACAGATTGAATCCTAGGTCACCACACGGGAACAGGAGAGTCCAGGCTCCTCTCCTCTGCAAAGATGTGAACTTCCTGAGGCTCCACCCCATCTTCCCAGTATACAAGTGGGCATTATTCAGAAAGAATCAGTCAGGAAAGGGCAGGCTTCATCTGAGACCAGTAGCCAGGTTTTTCAGCCTTCAGGCTGTTTAGGCTTGAAGGTGGGCTTTCACCAGGGACCTTTAGCTGTCTCCTATATCTATCAATTAGATGGGGTAATATACATAAAATGCTTCAAATATTGCTTGGCAAAGTAAGCCCTCATTAAAATTAGCTGTCATCCTTATTTTGCATATTCCTTATATAATGCCTTGTTCCATTTTGTTTCAATATGGGAGACCTTTTTATCATCTTCTTACTCTTGCTCTTGATCTAGACTTTTTCTATGTCATTTTAGGAACAGTTTGCTACCTGTATGGTTATCAAATTAAGTTTCTCCATCCTGAAAAAAATTATTTACATCCTAACTTTTCGTATTGTCATAATAAACTATTGAATAAAACTATTGAATAAAACTATTCAATTGAAATAGAAGAGCTTTAAATGTTACAGTATATTTGGCCACATGTAATTTTATAACTATGTAACTATTCAGTTTCCATTCTCTTTGTTATCCTTGAATATTGAACATTTTGAGGCTGTCTGACCATTTGAAATGCATGGCACAAAATTTATTTTCTTTTTAAAATAGAAACCTACCATATGGATGTAGCAATAGTTATTGGGTTTTTAAAAAATCTATACTCTATAGTTTGTCAATCTTGTGTCTTATGTCAATCTAATTTTACAGATTATGTTCTGAATCTATAAAAATGAGGCACATAATGAAGAAAACATTTAACAAAATTGGGATTTTTTAAAATCTATACTCTCTAGCTTATGTCAATCTTATGTCAGTGTAATTTTATAGATTATGTTCTGAATCTATAAAAATGAGGCACACACTCAATGAAGAAAACATTTAACAAAACAGTATAACTTGGCTTGCCTAAATTGTGATTTCCTTAAGAGCAGGGATGTTATACTTTATATTCCCTTTTATTTATGGACCACTGATTTACACATATCATTGGTTCTCAATGAATGCCCTTTCCCCCAGGCATTTAGAAATGTCAGGAATGGGGTGGGGTTGGGTGTACATAGTTGACTGGAGGTATAACTTGTGTAGTGCCCTTGAGGACAGTGTTGTTAAATGTCCTGTAATTCACATTTGGATTACAACTAATTGTCTCACTCAAAAAATCAATAATTTCCCATTGAGAAATACTGACATATATGATTTATTCCTTTCTGCTTCGCTGAACAAATATATATTGATTGCCTCCTAAGGGTAATGTGTTCAACTGTAATTTTATGGGTGCGACTCTGGAAACACATACCAGGCTCCTGGCAACATGAAGGAAGGGATACCACTTGATATCACTCTGATTTTCTCAACTGTACACAAAATGGTATCAGTATCATTTGCTTCTGAAATCCAACCACCATCATTTTCACATCAAAAATGTTTACTGAAACAATTATATCAAGGCCAGGCATGGTGGCTCACACATGTAACCCCAGCACTTTGGGAGGCTGAGGCAGACAGATTGCTTGAGCCCAGGATTTTGAGACCAGACTAGGCAACCTGGCAAAACCTCATCTCTACAAAAAATACAAAAATTAGTCGAGTGTGGTGGTGTGCGCCTGTAGTCCCAGCTACTCAGAAGGCTGAGGTGGGAGGATCGCTTGAGCCCTGGAGGCAGAGGTTGCAGTGAGCTGAGATTGCACCATTGCACTCTAGCCTGAGTGACAGAGCAAGACCCTGACTCCCCACTCCCCACAAAAACAAAAAGAAAAACAAAAATATACCTTTAGCCTTATTTTGGCTGAAGGTATAACAGTTGAACCAACACACATATTTCCATTCCTTTGGAAATTTACATTTCCTGTGTTTATGGACTTCATACTAGATTACAACAAAGATGACTATAATATTACCCAGATTGCCTGAATGGCTCAGAAACCATGCAATTTGACATTTAACCATTAAGGAAATAGAAAAGTGGTCCATATTGTTTTCCCATAGGGGAAAAGGATTCTTTTAAAATATATATTTATTGTATTTTAACTGCAAAAAATAAATAATTTTTAATCATTCCTTTTTAAAGAAGTGTCGTTTTATTGTTGCCTCCTTTCAAAGGTAGTTCCCTAAAATTTCCATAGGTGGCAGTAGCGTTCTACTTCCACAGGTTACATTATTGATAGCTGGTAGTATTGTTTTCCAGGTAAGTGTGTATGTTTTGAGATTTCTGAGATATGTCTTCTGATCTTCCTATTTTATCTAAATAAATACATTGGAATAATATTTTCATATTTCAAGCTAGGAGTATATTCAGAGACAATGAATAACCAATACTACACATACCTATACCTTGTATTACCGAACTGGTTACACTCTGGTTCTAGTTATTCAATTGAAATAGAAGAGCTTTAAATGTTACAATATACTTGGCCACATGTAATTTTATAGTTATATAACTATTCAGTTTCCATTCTCTTTGTTGTCCTTGAATTTTGAACATATTGGGGCTTTCTGATCTTTTGAAATGCATTTCACAAAATTTATTTCCTTTTTAGAATAGAAGCCTACCATACAGATGTAGCAATAGTTATTGGATTTTTAAAATCTATACTATCCATAGTTTATGTCAATCTTATGATTTTCCATGGAATAGACAATAAAATAGTAAAATCCAGATGTTAAATAATAATAATGACTCTCATTGCTTGACTGCTCTCTATCTGCCACGGCTAAGTGAATTGTCTCATTCTTTTTCTTCACAAATCATATAATACTTTCATTATTTTTATTTTACAGTTAAGGAAATTGAGGTGTAGAGAGGTTAACTTGCCCCAAATTACACCCGTATTCTAATTCTGGAACCTATACTCTTCACCTGTATACTGTTATTACTGCCCAGAAGTGCAAAGTAGATGGACCTTTTTTCTTTTCCTATTTCCTTCACTCAGTGGGCAATGAAGTGAAAATGGAATGTTTATTTTTCTAATCTAATGAGAGCTCTTGCTTAGTCATTTCCTGTGTGGTATGTTCTTAATTCTAAGGGCACAAAGTATTCGGGAAAGGACTAGAGAGAGAAAAAAATAATAATACTTCTTCTCGGCATGTCTCTAAAACAGGAATATCCAGTTCTTAACACCTTGAGCATGGGATTAATTAACTGTCAAATAGCAAATCTCATGTGTTTTTTTTTTTTTAATCCTGATATATGAGAATAACTGATGCTGTTGTTTAAGTGAATACTGGGCTAAATAATCTCTCCAAGCTGTTTTCCAGTTCCATCATTCTATGATTCTAAGAATTCTGTCATTCACAACTCTGAAAAAGACTCCATCCAGCCCACTTAGTAACTTCAGAAGAATTTTTTTTAATGCTAGCTGTAGTATTATTTATTAACACATATAAGGAGTACTTGACTAATAATGTGTGTTGCAATTTTTAGTTGCCATTGATTAGAGGATGATTTCAGAAAACATAATGCAGTGTCTGCAGTGAAAAGCAAAGACCAAATCTGTTTAGTAACGCTCAACCCAATGGCAAGAATATGTACATTTTTAAATCTTTTTATCCCCAGAGAGTAAATTATGTACTCTTGGAGACATTATTCTCTCAGACCTCTGGACTTCACTGAATGCACTGATGCAAGAATTCTAAATCATTCCATTCCTTTCTGAAGTTTTACTTCAACTTCTAGAAGTTTCCAGCATTTACAAAGGAACAGCTCTTGTATGAGAGAATCAGAAACCATACAAGAACAGCTCTTGTATGAGAGAATTTTTTTTAGACTTTTAAATTTTATTAATAAAATACAAAACAGCACAGACATTGGTGATAAGGGATGGAAAAGTCAAAGGATCAATCCAGGCTTAGAGATATTTATTATTTCACATTGTAAAAATAGTGCATAAATTCTCAAATATGGCATCATGTAGGCAAAAACATACCTTGAGACTTGTTAGATCCACCATTATTTTCCAAATAAAGTGTCATACATAGTGTCATTGAGCTAAACTAGGACTAAACTTAGAAACCATCTTCAGGGATTTTCATGGAATATTCATCTGTTTTCAATACATAGATTATTTCCCCGTTTATTTTCTTTTGTTGTTGTTGTTCCATCTTTAGATCGTCTGTGAGTAAACTTGAATGTGTGGGGTGGGAGTGGGAAACTTAGTGCTGATTAAACACAACAATGACACTGAAAGAATCAGTTTTATAGCCTGAGAATTGCTGTAGCCAGCATTAAAAGCAGGTCCTGCATCTTCTGAGAATCTGGCCGCCACCCTCCTCAGAGAACACAGCTGTGGCTTTGGACTTGACAGTACATAGATGGGGTGTATTTATAATTTCTAGTTTGAGTTTCACTGCACAACCTTTGTCAGTAACTTTCCATGTGTATGCTTTCTATTAGCCACAGTGAAGTTCTCACTTATTTCACAGCAGAATGATCAGAACTCCGCTTCTATCTGAATTTTCACAAAGAAGATAGGGCCAGCTGACCATATCTGTGCCTCGAACCTAAGAAATCAACTAGAATGGGGTGTACTCTTGAAGGCTACCCAAAGTGGGAAGCCAGTATTTCAAGTTCAAGCCAATTTCCTGGGGGAGGCTCAAGAGTCAGTGAAAAAGAGAACAGATATAAACTCCAAGTTCAGAGTGTGAGAGCCTAGAGCCAGGAATGAAATAAAGCTTGATTGAAGCAAGAGCAGTCAGGAACAATTGAGAATGGTCTAAATAGAATGATTTCCAAAAATACTAATGGGTTGTCCATGGCCAGCGGGAGGAGGTAGGTATATAGCTATATTAACAATGATAATCCCAGACCATTCAGTGCAAGCTAGAGACTGCTAAACAAGCTATTGAGAGATATTGGAGGTGTGTTTATCCATTTTCATACTGCTATAAAGAAATATCTGAGACTGGGTAATTAATAAAGAAAAAGAGTTGTAATAGACTCACAGTTCCACATGGCTGGGGAGGCCTCATAATCATGATGGAAGGTGAAGGAAGAACAACAGCACATCTTACATGGTGGCAGGCAGAAGAGCATGTGCAGGGAAACTGCTCTTTATAAAACCATCAGATCTCATGATCCCAACTATCACAAGAACAGCGTGGGAAAAACCTGTCCCTATTATTCAATTATCTCTCACCAGGTCCCTCCCACAACATACGGGGATTGTGGGAGCTACAATTCAAGATGAGATTTGAGTGGGGACACAGCCAAACCATATAAGGAGGGATAATGTGAAGGGATGAAAGAGGATCAGGGTACTGGACTTTGATCTCTTTAGTACTCTGATTTTATTCTATTGCATTCTACAAATCTATATTAAATACTGTGCAATATTTAATATCTTATAGATATTTTGATGTGTTTATGAACATATATATAACCCCCTTGTCCCTCCAAATGTTAGAAGCAGAGTAGCAAAATCTGTATACTTAATTTAATTAACAGAGAAAAAAATCTTCAAGGATTTAGTCTCTGGAGGAAAATAGGTGTTTTCAACAGCTGCACCTAAATAAGTGTACCACCAGATGGCGTTCACACATTAAAGTCATGCTGTTTTCATGCAGTTTGCCTTGTCTAAATTTTAGAATCTGAAATAAGACATTACTGATGTTTTTAACTATTTTTACGTCTTTTAGTACAAATGTCCTTAGCAATGAAATATAGTGGGTTTTAAAATAAGCTGATTTGGTAACATATGCCCTCTTTATGGAGGAAAAAAACCAACAATTTCACTTTTGTTTGCCCTAAAGATCTTTTTTTTGTGTGATTTCTGATATGCTAAGTGGGTTAAAGTTTATATATCTACCATGCTCACATTTTTCTTTTATTTCCTTTAAATTAAAGACAGTGCAACATAAATTAGCAGAATTAAAAACACATATATGTGTAACCAGAGCATTTGTGGACAGCTGTCTCCAGCTGCACGAAAGGAAATGTATAGACTCTGCCACTGCTTGCATGGCGAAATATTGGTATGCATGCTACAGTAATTAGAGTGTGGTGTATGCTCAGACTGATATGGAATTCTGCCAATTTTAAGCTCAGCCTTGAGGGTCTTAAAAGAAGTCTGTGAAATGAAAAATAAAAGTAAAATTCAACTTTTTAAAAAATGCTGAAAAGTCCCATTAAACATATGTATAACGTGCTAAAAAATAATCAAGTTGGCATTGAATTTTTTTTATCCTACTAGGCAAGCAAAGTTAGTATCTAATTCTTAACTTGCTATTGAAAATAAAATATTAAGAGAAGGATAATGAAGACTAATATTGATAGAATAGTCATCAATATTAACATTAGTTCATTCAAGTCATAGTTTAATTTTAAATCATCTGAAGTGTGGCAGTATAGTGAGGGTGAAAGAGAACAGTAAAATTTAGGAACCTTAAGATAGAGCCCCAATTCTTTTATTAAATAACTATAATTAAACATCCAGGAAAATGTTTTTGTTATCTGTGAAATGACTAAGTTGGACAGGATTCTTCTATTTAAGGTGCTTTCCAGATGTAAGAAAAAATTCACAAAGAACTGGCTGTCGAAAGTTTCGCAGGCTCCAATAAGTGAAAGGAAACTAAAAATCCTATTAAGTTTAGAAAGACTTTGATTTGGATTAAAGATTATTAGCAATGGTACTAAAGATGAGTTGATCAAAAAAAGATCCCTGTATGTAAGACTTTTGTGTATTTTAAGACGTAAGAATATATAATCTAAATCAGATTTTGGAGGTAGATTTGGTTTCCTTATTTTAAAAACAAACATTCTCACATATCATTAGCTCAAGAGTAACCTGTAAAAAAATTCCCGTCATTACTCATTAACTTGTGTTCAGTTACAAGTAGGACAGGGGAAATATTTTGTGCTTTATATAAAGATCCCACAATAATAAAATTGCTAGGGTTGAAAAGTAATGTGGAATTACTAGGAACTTGTACTTTTGGGGAGACTTTTTATATTTACATTTACAACAAGTTCTTTGACTAGCGGAAAAAAGTGTAAAAAAATTTTTACATACAGGTATTGATCGACTTACGACCTATGCAACTTACGACCATTCGACTTTATGACCACAATCGCTAACCACGACTGCTCCGCGTCTGGCAGCGCAAACGTTGCCCAGCTGGGCGTACGACAGTGCGGACCAGCTTCCGGCAGCACTACCATCTCCGCGTGTACCATTTCAACTGTTATCCCAGACTCGGTACAGCAATTTGTGTTTTGTGTCTTGGATATTTTTCATCAAACCCCTCCCAATAAACTTCTTATACATTTCGAAGCAATGGACCCAAACATCGAACGATTTGCAAGGATTGAACGGATGCCGAACGATGTGTTTCGTCCGTATCGTGAAATTTATGAAGAAAAAAAGAAACATACAATTCAGACAAAGCTCACCATGTTTATGAAAAAACCAACTCCGGTAACCCCAACTGCTGCCTCAGATGATGACATCAACGATCCGCAGCCAAGAACCAGCAGCCAATAAAATGTTTTGTACATGTTTATATATTTTGATATGTTTTGCAATTGGGAAAATGTTTCCTATGGTATTTCTTACACCTGTATTTTGTATTTTTGTATGCACCTGTATTTTGTAATTTTGTATGTTTTGCAAATATTAAACCAGTTGTACTGGTAATGCAGTGTTTTACTTAAACCTGGCGAATGTAAAAATAAGAAACAAAATGGATGATACAAATGGCATAAAATGAACAAAGAAAATTATGATATATAACAATAATGAAAGAAAATTATGATAAAATATGACTTAAAGATTTTTATATCATTTCACAATGCTGTACTGTACATATAGCCTACTCAGCTTACAACCAAATCGTGTTACGACCGGTCTGTCGGAACCAATCGTGGCCGTAAGTCGAGCACTAGCTGTATTTTTGGAAAAAGAGAGATTTGGATAGCCATTGACCTTGTTATTTGAAAACCCCAGGTTTATAGACATGCTGGTATTTCACATTGAAGCACAGGAGACAACTAGTTATAGCCCAGTAAATATTTCACTAAAATACTTGCCAAAAATAAAAATTATCAAATTTTAAATATTGTCTCCAAAGCCCTGTCTATTGATAATTATATTGTTGGCCAGGCATGGTGGCTCACGCCTGTAATCCTAGCGCATTGGGAGGCTGAAGCCAGCAGATCACAAGATCAGGAGTTCAACACCAGCCTGGCCAATATGGTGAAACCCTGTCCCTACTAAAAATAAAATAAAATTAGCCCAGCATGGTGGCGCATGCCTGTAATCCCAGCTACTCAGGAGGCTGAGGCAGGAGAATTGCTTGAACCCTGGAGGCAGAGGTTATAGTGAACCGAGATTGCCCCACTGCACTTTAACTTGAGCGACAAGAGTGAGACTCCATCTCAAAAAAAAAAAAAATTATTGTTAATATATGGCTTAGAAACATCCTCAGCTGTCATATAGCTTGAGTTTTAAATGATTTTAAATTTTAAAAAGTATCTATCCTTATCTTTGCTTTATGTTTCCCACTATTGCAAAATAAGTAGCAGGGTGCTGTAGCTTACAACTGTAATCACTCCTACTCCAGAGGCCGAAGTGAGAGGATCCTTTGAGCCCTCAAGGAGTTCAAGACTGTAATGACCTTTGATTGTGCCACTCTACCCAGCCTGGGCCATAGAGTGAGTGAGACTCCATCACTAAAATAAATAAACAAACAAAAAAATAAAGAAAAGAAAAATAAATAGAAAAGAAATTTGAACTAACATATTTTTATGTTAAGGTGAATAAAATCTGTATCGTGAATTTTAATAATAGAATTGTGATATAATCAGAAAAGAATTTTTCTCAAGCACTGCATGTTTATATATGTATACATACATTTATGTAATACTCATACACACACTTCAGAAATATTAATCTCTATATAATTTTCTAATGTTTTCTATATGATAGCATATAGTTTGTTAGTCTGCCCTCTTGGGTTTTCACTTTTACCTTTAATTTATTTCTGAAAAGTCAGAACCCTAAAAAATTGCTTTTTTATACTGAAATTCAGAATCGTGATCTTCAAGTAGAAAGTGACATCATTGGAGAAAAAAAGCGTATTACAAGGGCAAAAAGAACTAGGTGACTGAGTAATTTAGATCATATAAAGAATCCAAATAAATTAGAACATATTCAAGTCTTTACTGTATCTTTTTCTAGCCTTTTGAAACCTAATCATGTTTTCTAACTTTTGTTTCTAGCCTAACAAAAACCTAGCAAGAAATGTAATCGATGAAGAAGGTATTCTTATATGAAAATTCTCTTGAAATTTATTTCATATGTGATTTTTATCATCTCCTTTACTTAGCTAATATGCCATTTTAATTGCTTAATAAATGTGCACATTTAAACAATTGTACATAATTGGTTTTCTGGTTTTGAAGCACCTCATGAAAATCCATTTCAAACATTTCTTTCTGCCCCCCCCCCTTTTTTTTTTTTTGGTCATTTAGGACATCTGATTTACAAAATAGAGTAGCTTATGACTATGTACAGCTCCTTGGAGGTTGGGGATGCATATGGGAGTACCCAATTGCAAAGTAAGTATGGTTGTTCTGACACACTATTCTTTATGATATGAAGAAAAAGGAAAATTACTTTGTACATCAAATGTAGAGGGAAAGGAGGTGTGCAATCTTTTGAATTTTTCAGCTGAATAGAGACAGAATGTGTTCATGCAAATGGAAACAGCTTTTTTTATCAACTCACTACTGGGATTTTATCTTTCTTAAAGAAAGTAAAGAGACCAGTATACCAAAGCTTGATGCTTGGCCTTATTTGAATTGTCATGTAGAAGGACAAGTACTACTTTTAAAATTTTTGTATTCTTTATTTTACTTTGAGACAGCCTCGCTCTGTCACCCAGGTTGGAGTGTACTGGCATGATCTGGGCTCACGGCACCTTCTGCCTTCCAGGTGCAAATAATTCTTGTGCCTCAGTCTCCAGAGTAGCTGGAATTAACAGGCGCATGCTATTTTTTTTTTTTTGTATTTTTAGTAGGGGTGTGGTTTTGCCATGTTGGCCAGGCTGGTCTCCAACTCCTGGCCTCAAGTGTTCAGCCTGCCTTGGCCTCCCAAAATGCTGGGATCACAAGAGTGAGCCACCGTGTCTGGCTAAATACTACTTTAGAAAAAAAAAAAAAAAAAACAGTACAGAAAAATTAACTGGCATATGCAAAGGATGCAAGTTGTCACATATCTTAAATATCTGATTGTTTTGCTCTAAAAAAAAATCAAAAATCTTTATTTTTCTAAATACATTTTTTATTTCCTTCAAATGGAAAGAAATCAAATATATCTTTTTTATTTATCATATTATATATGAATATTCTTATCAGTTTGAAGCAGTACTAATTTGTAAATAGGCAGTGTCCTCACCCACATTTCCTCCTTAATCTCCAGAATTTCCTTTTCTCTTAGCATAGTCTTTTGCCTCAGAAGCCTGCCCATAGCATTTCTCCTCATCACCCTAGAAAATACATCTTTCTCATTACTTAGCAATGTTTTTGGTTTAGAAAATTTTCTCAAGGACATTTTTTATTTATACAGAAAATTTCAATTTGGTCTGAATCTGAGAGTAAGAATGCTGTAGGCTTCTAAAAATGTTTTAAGATTTTTATCTTAATGCAAAGTATCTAAAGGGAAAAATTATGAAACCCACATTCAAACTGGCAGCCTAATGATTTCAAATTTACCTTTTCGGTAAGTATAATTGAAAACATTTAATGTATTTATAGTCCTTAGTGAGAAAAAGAAATATTTTACTAAAATTACATTAAGACCAGAAGCTATGTAGTGGCTCAATGTTTGTGTGGTTTAGTTCACATTCTAAGAAAGGCCTATTAGGTGGGGAGAAGGCAACCATCTAAATGGCTTAAGATTAGAGTGTGGCATAAGCCTTGGTCTCTTTTCTCAGAGTCAACTTCTTCAAGCTGATACCAAGCAAACATTGTAGCTTGATGGCTTATTTGAAATCTTTGATTTCAGTTTAAGAGACTTATATTACCTTTAAGAAACAATAACCACCTTCCTTGGCCAGTTTGTTAGTTCAAAGATTGTATCAATTTTTAAAGTAGCCTACTATTTCTCTTTCCATATATCACTTAATACCAAAAAAAACCACTTAGGCCAGGCACATTGGCTTATGCCTGTAATCCCAGCACTTTGAGAGGCCGAGGTGGGTGGATTGCCTGAGCTCAGGAGTTTGAGACCAGCCTGGACAACATGGCGAAACCCTGTTTCTACTAAAAATACAAAAAATTTAGACAGGCATGGTTGCGGGCACCTGTAGTCCCAGCGACTCAGAGGACACAAGAACTTCTTGAACTCGGGAGGCAGAGATTGCAGTAAGCTGAGATCACCCCACTGCACTCCAGCCTGGTCGACAGAGTAAGACTCTGTCTCAGAAAACAAAAAGTCACATAGACACATTAGGCAATATGTGGATGTAATGTATAAACTTTGATTTGATAGAAAAAAAATCATTCTAATTGTGTTTCTTATATCCCGCAGACTAAACTACATTAGTTTATATATATGTTGCTGAGTCTTGGTTTCATAGATAAAAGAGGTGCTTTCTCTGCTTTTTTATTTTACTTTTTTTGTTTTTGTCTTTTTAAATAATTGGTCTTTAGCATGTGGGTTTATTTCAGTCTTACTCATTAGGTTCGAGCCTGAGGAGAGAGGTTGAAGGTTTGCCATTTGAGGATTTTCTCTACCATGCTAGGAAGAGCAGCCTTAGATATATAACTTCATTGCAGTGTGGTTAAACATTTCTGCTGCTGCCTTTTACTGTTAATTTTAGTTGATGACTAAATTTAATTAGTAACATATAAAAGGTCTACTAATCTCTGTCTTTGTCTACTCCATTGGCACTTCTTTAATGTGAAAAGAAGTCTAGTCCATTAAAAAAAAATCTAAACGCCTTGGGATTGCTGAAATAGGCTTACACTAGGTAAGTCTTCAAAATGCAGGTGCTAGATTTTGTAGAGCAGAGCAAAATCTGTTTAGAAAAAAAATGTTTGCAAACAAATGTCTCAAGCTTTTAAAGCTTTCGGCAGAAAGTACCGAGATTCTAAACTTCCTTTGTAATATAGTAAATCATATCAATAAACATTTACTGAGCACCCATTTCTTTGTAGGGAACACTGATGAATATGGAGAAGAATAAGTTCAAATCTGGTATGTTCTTAGAGAGCCTGTAACCCCAGCACTTTGGGAGGCTGAGGGGGGCAGATCACGAGGTCAAGAGATCGAGACTATCCTGGCCAACATGGTGAAACCCCGTCTCTACTAAAAATACAAAAATTCGCTGGGCTTGGTGGCATGCACCTGTAGTCCCATCTACTCAGGAGGCTGAGGCAGGAGAATTGCTTGAACCTGGGAGGCAGAGGTTAAAGTGAGCCAAGATCGCTCCACTGCACTCCAGCCTGGCACCTGGCAACAAATCGA